GCCATAGGGTGAGATAATAACTGGACAGTTTTTAGCCCTCCTCGCTATTTCACACACTAACACACTGACAAATATATCTGCCGTTTTAACATTAAAATTCCTGTTTTGAAAAGTTAATTACAATAAAAAACGACGAACAGCACAGAGATGTTGATTTCACAGTAAATGCATGTCCTCATAGTTAGTTTTACAATAATTTTACTGTCTATAGAAAGCAGTGGACAATTCGTGCACTGTTTTTATTGCCATTAATGCTCTGAACATCTTTACCACACACACGCAAACATTGTGTTAAATATTGAGCAGATGAAACTTACATAGAACCTGGCTTTCCTCTCAAATCTCTAAGTCTGTTTGCTGTGAGCAGAAATCTTCATGCTTCTCTCCTCCTGAGCTGCTGAACCATCTAAAAGCCTCTCCCAGGGTCTCCCTGCCTGTTCTCAGCCCTTTGTCACACTTCCTATAAGATTAATGAGCASAGCGCTGTAAACATCATTTCTTTCTATTTTTCTCAAGAGAAAACAGATTGTAAACGGAGCTGGCCGGCTCCATTCACCTAATGCTGCCCACCATTACATCAGCCTGGAGAGGGGAGAGAAAAAACACACACACACACAAAGATCCAGAGCCCCATTGTTGGTGCTTTTCACCGGCCGGGATGCGCCAACATGCCGCCCACACGGCGCACATGGCCACCGGCCGCCATCCCGCTGCTCCCCCTCCTCAGAACAAAGCAGATGTAGCCTCTGTTTGTCATAAAGCGTTTTGGGGAAAAATAATCTTRCTTCCCACAGACGTCGAAGCCGCTAGGCCTTGGGCACGGATTGGCTGCTAAGGAGTCACATGACCAGGAATTGGCTGCAATTTCTCCCCATAGTTGTTCAGTTTAGCCTACCCAGGTCCCCATACGCTACTAATATAACCAATATACACAATTATGATATAGCCGCCGCATTTCCGCTTTTGCAGCCAGAAGCTTGTGTTTTTTTTTTCTTTTCTCTTTTTCTTAATGATTTATTTTCTTGGAAAGCCATATTGGGTGGTGTGCGTGTGCGCGCGTGCGCCTATGAGTGTTTCTTTTTTTATTTTTTTTGTTTTGGGGAAGGATTGTTCTGGGGTCTCGCCGTGTGAGGGGGGGAACTGGTTTGAGGGAGCTATGAATTTTGAATTTGAGAGGGAGATCGGGTTTATAAACAGCCAGCCGTCCCTAGCAGAGTGCCTGACGTCCTTCCCTGCCGTCCTGGAGTCATTTCAAACTTCATCAATCAAGGAGTCGACAGTAATTCCGCCTCCCTTCGAGCACACCATCCCCAGCCTCAGCCCCTGCACGGGCAGCCAGCCGAAACCGGCTTCTGGGAGCCAGCAGAACCGGAGAGCCTCCGCCACAAATGGCGACCAGACGCATCACCGCGCCGCCCAGCAGCCCTGCGCGCCGGGCCAAGCCCCCTCTGCTCCGGCCACCCCAGTCGGTCCCCTGGCCCACGAGTTCCCCTGGATGAAAGAGAAGAAGTCATCCAAGAAGGGCCCCAAGCCCGGAGGCAGCTCCGTCTCCGGTGGAGCCATCATCACCCCAGCGTCATCCTACCCCTCTCCAACCGCCTCTGGGTATGCTTCGGCGGGCATCGAGTCGCCCACAGGTCGGTAAGCGGGGAGGCGCGGGCCTCGGGTGGCGCGCGCTGACATTATTTTCTTTCTGTTTGCATCGTGACTTTTACAGATCACAAAGTGCTGCTGCGTTTGACTCACTGCATTCCTTCTCCATCAGTGCTTGTGCGCATTTGTGTGTGTGTGTGGACGTCGTGTGTGCGTGTGCGTGTGCGTGTGCGTGTTGTGCAGTGCTGTGATTCTGCGTGAGCAAGAGAGCCACACCACTGCATTATGCTGCAGTGCTTCACAACCAAATCTTTCACTGATGCTACTTTTCTCCAAAGTAATGTAAAATATTTGTTCTCTCGTGACGCTTAGTAAAGTTAAATACCAAAAAAATAAAAATAAAAATAATTTATATTTTCCATTTCATTCTTCTGCAGCTTTCAGCTGCTTCAGTTGCTGTTTTCTTATTTGGATGCTGCTCCTTCCCATCAGTGACGTGTTATAGTGCTCATAACAAAACTTAAATGGTCGCCATATTGAATGGAGGAAGGGAGAAATAAAGGAGGGTAGGGGAGGAGGGGGTGTCTGACAGATTATGGTGGGGGTTGGGAAATATAATATGTTTCAGCCACACAGGAAACACGCTGCACACATTCAGATTTCCTGCCTTTTAGATCATTTCTTTCTCTTTCATGAGACCTCCCATGGCCAGCAAACAGTTTTTGTTAGTACCCTTATTTTTTTATTAATATTGTTAATAT